GTTTGCATGAACAACATGGAGAAGTCAGAAAACCTCATCACCTTTAAAAACAAGACAGCTGTACACTCTTAAAAATAAAGGTGCTTCAAAAGGTTCTTCAAGCGATGCCATAGAAGAACCATTTTTGGTTCCACAAAGAACCATTCAATCAAAGGTTCTTTAAAGAACAATCTCTTTCTTACCTTTTTATAATCTGAAGAACCTTCTTTCACCACAAAGAACCTTTTGTGAAACAGAAAGGTTCTTCAGATGTTAAAGGTTCTTAATGGAACCATTTAGACAAAAAGGTTCTTCTATGGCATTGTGAAGCACCTTTATTTTTAAGAGTGTATGTGTGTGTGTGTGTGTGCCCACTTTTACAAGAAATAGCAAGTGACTATTTGACTTAAAAGGGTTCTTTGAATTAGTCTTCCATTAGTTAATTTGAATATAAATAAACGAAAATATAAAAAATAAAGACTCTTATGTTGAACAATATTTACTGAATCTATATCTTAGTCATTCTTGTACCATTTCTGAAAAAGATGCTATTTGAGAGTCGATGGAAGCTGTGAAATAATCCATTTTGTAATGATGGCATGGCATAACCTAATTGTTTTTTTCCCTTTTGTTCATTATCTGCCTTGCTTCAATAGATATGTACAAGACTGAAATTAGAGTAAAATAAAACATGCTGTTAGCATCAGAAGAATCTTGCTAGACTGTATTATAGGTAACACTAATGAAATTTAGTTGGCTTTGATAAGAAATCACATTTTTTTTCAACTGCTTACACACATTTTCAAAACTTTGTCTCTTTTTTTCAAAACTTTACACACAATTCCAAGAATTCCACACACACAATGCAAAATACCTCACATCTCTTGCAAAATGAAACACTTCATTCAAAATATCACAAACACATCTCAAAAGCAAACATTCATCTTATGTTGCAAACACCTTTGCCATAATATTATATTTTTGGATATATCATATACGCACAGTTATTCAAAACCTGAAGCTCTTCTTTCATGAGCTCCTATGTAGATTTCTGTACAAGATTGAAAGTAATTGGCAGAGAGGTGTTGAAAAATTCATAGTAAACTTTAAAAGCAAGATCGAAACCAGATTGAAGATTGAACTTTTTTTTTACTGTAAGCATTTGTGGTTGTGAAAACAATATTACACAGTACGAAAGAAAATAAACAAATAAACCATGTGTAGTTGTGTAGATGTGTATTTATAGGCCTATTCTAAAGCCATGATTGGTTGGTGTTAAGTAAAGCAATGAGTGTTGCACATGTGAGGAGTTAGAAATTGAGGCATAGTGTGAATTAGTCTGCCATTTTGATTGGTTGTGTTTGAAAAAGGAAATCAAGATACTTCCTGTTAGATTTTTGTGTGTTACATAGAGAACTGTGTGTTGTGTTTTGCACATAAAGTGTTTTATGAAATTGAAAAGGCAGAGAATTAGTGTATAGTTTTGCAGATTTGGTGTGTGGTTCTGGTGTTTGAGTGTCAGGTTTCAGAAATCGTGTGACAAGCAAAGATTTTTTGTGTAAGCAGTTGAAAAAAACTGCAACCAGTAAACGTAAATAAATATTTATTTCATAAAGTGTACATGTAATATTTTATAATATTATTATGAAATAGTTTAATAATTTCTAAATGTTAAATATTTTTGGTTTACCCCACATATGTTGCTAAACCTTTAAAAACAAATGTAACCTATATTATTATTAAATCTGCTCAAAGATTTACTTATGTTCAAACTTTGTGTGTGTGTGTGTGTGTGTGTACAAAAGTGTACTTTTTAAAAAAGGTACCGCCCCAGTATCAGCATTTGTACCTTTTTCTGAGAGTGATCCTGTAATGTTATTTCAAGGCCATTTAGGGGAAACTGTGGTTTGCTATTCTCAACATTTACAGATTCTAATGTTGTGGTTGTTGCAAGCGGATCTTGAAATAAACTATGCTACAGCCTCAGAACAGGGGAAAACCTGCTGCTTTGGCCAGAACATAATCTTTATTTCAGTCAAATAAATGTGCATGATTGATGCAATAGTGAACATAATTGTTTATAATCAAGAAATTGATTTTCAGTGTATATAATAACCTACATGTTTGCAATAACTTTGCAAAATATGCAAATTAAGGCAGAGATTGGTTAGCAGTTATCCAACAATATATCAGTTCTGTCATGAAACTGTATGACATCAGTAGCCTAATTAACTACTTTCTAAGTAAATTGGACAAGAATAATTTTTGGCATATACTCACTATATAGTTTATAACAGTCGCATGCATATAATAATCTGAGGTACTCTCACTTTGACTTTGCTACAGGATGTGGTAAAAATGGAAACCTGTTGCGTGAACTGAGGAAAGTAAGTAGCCCAGCATTTGACTCTACAACCTCAAACATGCAAAAGAAAATATCCTCAGCCTTAAATGTTATGAAATGCATCATAAAGCCCATTTTTCACTGCTTGGTCGCAGCTGCATCACTAATCTGGCAGTAGAAAATCATATGTCAGTCATAAGTGACAAGTCACTTATGCTGTGAAAACGCAGCCCCAGACCACCACATGTAAGAGGCTGTGCGTGTGTGTTTACAGGAAATATCATGTGAAGGACATCAGCCTACACACTCTCTGTCTTGGTCTTGCAACCTTGACACCTTGGATGTCATGCGTCATGTACATTTCATATCTTTGGATATTTTTTGGTGCTTTGTTGTCTTCAAACGGTAGGTTCAAAATAGCAGTATTTATTGTCAGTTATAATGTGGTTTATATGATATTGGGGGTAAAATATATGTTGATCATTTTGACTATATTTGATTTACAGTAGTATTACAGTTTTTCTGAAATGATAAAACACTAAACCCCAATCTCTGAACCAAATTCTCATTAGCTTAAACAAATTTGTCGAATAAAGGTCTCTTTCTGCTAAACCTTAAACACGTTCAGGCAGTTAGGATCTATTTGCAAATCTCATGCACTCTTTTTGCAAAACTCTAAACACATTCTCATTCTCTTAAACACTTATCACACTGTGATGCATTTGTGTGGCAAAATGCTAAACACAAGCAGCAAAAGTTAAATACAACTAAAGCGCAGTTGTCATCGTTTACACACAACAATTCAAAATTGTTCACGCTTGTTTCTAATGATGTGATCAAACCAACTGCACAAAATATGAGCCAGTTCAGAGTGCACAAGTGACACAGGTGACTGAATGATGATGATACGAACAATATGGAAACAATCTGAGGAGGAGAGGAGGAAGAGTACATGCAAGAAGTGGAGGATGGGGAGAGAAAGAGTAAGGTTTAGAAAGTGTTATCAAGGCTGGATCTGTCAGACCAGAGGGGTTTTTTCTC